ATTTTTTTTTTGTTTGGTTGTATTTGTATTTTACTTTATCCATATGTTGTTTTTATTTTTTATGTTTCTTAAAATAAAATTAATAATATAGTTTTTTTTTTTTTTAGATGGTATCGTTTTATGACACAATAGTTTTCAAAAATTGGGCCTAAAAATGAATTGTTTTTAGAAAAAAAAAAACAAATTCCAAAAAAAATTCGCAATCATTTTGTCAAATAATTTTTTGATAAATTATATTGATCTCACCTAAAGTTTAGAGAAAATACAATAAGCTTCACAAATTTGGTATAATTACATTGGGCTCCCCTAAGATTTTAATTCATATAATAATTGGAATTTTTTTTTAAGATCCCTGATATTAAGATTTTATAAAATAAAAGACATACAATATTTTCATAGTAGTTAAAGTCTCTCAACATTTTCATAGAAAAAATTCGACTCAAAGAAATTTCAATTTTCACTATAGGGCAAAAATTTATGCTAAATAGCATTTTTTTTTTTTTTAATGTTTTTTACTTTGTAAAATCTTGTGCATCGCACAAGTCACTAGTAGTTGTAAAAAAAAAGAATGTATCGTACTCTCATTCAAAGCATGTATAGCATGCAACAAGAAACGTATAAAGAGTGTCTGTGTCATACTTCCACACTTTTGTACTTTTACTTCTCTTTTTTTTTTTCTTTTCTATTTTTTTTTTTTTTCGTGGGTTGGTGATGATATGCTTGTAATGCTCAGAATTTTGATTTGGATATTTCACAAAGCTTGAGTTTGTTGGGTCTTTAAATTCTCACTTGATGTTTCAACCATTTGGGTCTGTTTCTTTTTTGCTTGTTGAAAACATCTAGAAAACAAAATGGAGATTAGTGTTTCAAAACAATTGGGGCAAATTGGGGCATCACTGTGTATTTGCTGATTCAATAGAAGGTTTAAGGTTGAAGATTTGACATTTGAAGGAAATTTCTTGAGTCAGTAATGGTTACTTGTTTCCGGCATCGTTAGCGTATGAGAGGAGTTGGCTCCAATATGAGAGGGTATGACATTAATAGGACGATAGGTAGTTTTTAAGTAAAAGGAAATGGATGGCAATTTAAACCGAACAGACAAATATATCATTGCTAATTTTTTAAACTAAAAGGAAATTGATGGCAATTTCTTAAATAAATATTGTTATTTACCATTTTCATGTTGTCACAATGTTGCTTTTTGACATATGCCACAATTACTGTTGCATTGTAGTACCGAAATGGAGCACTCACAATCGCAGTCGACACCTTCGAAACATATGCTTAAGCGTGGTGGTAAACAATCTCAACAGCAGTCCGCAAATGTGCACAAAGCAAATTGGGACTTTGACACAGTGCACATGTTCTTGCAACTTGTTATCAAAGAGTTGGACTCAGGTTTCAAGGGTAGCTTCCATACAATGACAATGCACGGATACAGGGCTGTCGCCAAGGCCTTCGAGGAGCGTACACATAAGGTCCATGATGTGAAGCAACTGCAAAACAAGTACGCGTTACTGAAAAAGGATTGGCAGTCGTGGTCACGCCTAATGGACAGCAGGCATGGGCCAATCGGCATAAGTTACAATGAAGCAACTGGTTTGATACAAGCATTTGACGACTGGTGGGCCCATTATGAAAAGGTAACAATTCCATATTCTTGTTTCTAACATCCAACGTGATAGTCATGCATATGTTACAATATATATTTTTAAAAATTCTTCATTAATATTTTAATGTGACCAAAAACAAGAACTAAACCTGGTTAGACACCTACTTTTCACCCCAACAACCGTTGTTATACTTGCCAAGTTGCCAAGTTGTCAAGTTGTCCGAAATGAAATGTAAATAAAGATTTCATGATGATTGATGGAGAACTTTAATAAAACATTGTAATTTTTATTTTTTAAACTTTTTTATTTGTCCTCATAATTTTGTTTAGGAAAAATATTTTTTAAAACAATTGAGTTGTAATTTTTTTTCCTGCTTGGTATAAAAACATATAATCGATATAGACGTGAAATGAATTCAAATGAGCATTTCGTCTATATTTCTTCTAAAGTGACACGTGTCAATCAAAGAAGAGTCAACACTTTGTATTGTGATTTCCTATGTTTGAGAAAAGGTTGAAGCGAAGGTAAATGGGAGAGAAGCTAGTTTCAAGTTCAATGATCAACTTCATAAAGAAAAATTATAACGATCCCGAAATTATTATTATTTTTATTTTTTTCAGTAGTGCTATATCTACCAAATTTTTACTCCATAAACTTTTTAAATGACTTGGCAAGAATGACTATAAAGTTTTAAAGGAAGAGAAGAGTGTAGGAATGTGAATCATTAATTTAACTTTTTCTTGTCACGTCATTCGAGAGGTTTATGGAAGAAAATTATGTAGATGAAGTATTTTTCTTTTTCTTTTTCTTTTTCTTTTTCTTATCATCAAAATTTTTTGTTTTAATTAAAATGTTTATATTTAAAATATAAATGTAAACAGTGCTTGCGTTTATAAATACAGACATTTAGTTTTGATGATAAAAAATTTTAATTGTAGGACTAGTGGTTCATACTATTCACTCTATTTGGTTCCTCTTTTTTAGATTTAGGGTGTGTTTGGTTTGTGTTTGTAGAATAATTTTTGAGATAAAAAGTACGAAAACTTGTTTGTTTGCTTTTTTTCAAAAATGATTTTAGAAAATTGTTTTGGGGAGAGAGTTTTAAAAAAAGTGATTGATTTGATGTGTATGAGAGAGAGGGTGATTTTGAAAAGTAGGTAACCAAACAAAATTTTGAGATTTTTTTTGGTAAAATTTGTTTGGTTTGATTACTCTTAAAAATTTGTTTGTAGAGAATTTTTTCCAAAATTTTTTCTGAAAAACAAACCAAATAAGGCATTAATTTTTAAAAAATTGTAGAGTTTTTGTTTGGTTAGTCAGAAAATCTGAAAAAGCTTTCAAAATCTCTTTTTTGGATTCTTTTTCCAAAATCTCTATTTGGTTCATCTTTTATATTTTGATAACTTGTGTGATGTATTTATCTCTGCTTTGCTTCCTTATTTGATTTTTGTTTATGAAGATTGAATGTTCGAATCAGGAAATGTGTGTAGATCAACTCATCAAATGACATTCATTTTTCTTTTATCAATGGGATCTTTTTTGGCCATTTTATTCATTTTTCTGTTATTGATATAGACCTGAAATCTGTTGTTATTTAGTATTTAAATTCTATTGCACGTCCTCTCTTTTACCAAGGCACTGTTTTGATGATAGAAAATTTTGGTAATTGTAGACTAGTGTTTCATACTATTCACTCTATTTGGTTCCTCTTTTTTAGATAATTTTTTAAAAATTGTAGGGTTTTTGTTTAGTTAGTCAGAAAATCTGAAAAAGCTTTCAAAATCTCTTTTTTGGATTCTTTTTTCAAAATCTCTCTTTGGTTCATCTTTTATATTTTGATATAACTATGCATCATGGCTGTTGTGTTTCTCCTCCTTCCTTGTTTTCAGTTATGTTTACGTGTTTTGGTTTTTCCCAGATTGACAAGAATGCACTGAAGTTCAAAACGAAACCGTTGGAGCATATGGACCTAATGCGAAGGGTGTACGAAGTGCAACAGCAACCGGGAAATTTGCATGGACACCAGGGGCAGCGTTCGAACATGTCGCCACCGAGGACAATCCTTTGCTGGTAGACAAAGAAGACTGCGAGGACAGCAGTGGTATGCCCCCTTTCCAGCCATCCGCGCAGCATGAACACACTGTCTACCACACTTGTGCGCAAGAGGAGGACACCCCGGTCACTGTACATGCTGTGTCATCGGCAATTCACGCTGATGACACACCTATGAGTGGCGGGAGCAAACACAAATTCAGTCGCACAACACACCCACAGCTTAAAAAAGGGCAAAGTGAGGGAGCATTGCTCTTGGCGAGTAGCATGAAAAACCTTGCGTCTTCAGTTAAATTACAACAACGAGAAGTCCGCGTGCATCATGAGTATGGAGATTCGGCCTCGGACTGCACTCGCAAGTGTATGGCATGGTTGTACTCCCTACAAGGCTTGGACCCGCAAGACCCACTAATCCCTTATGGTTTGATGCTAATGGACAATCCGCCAAATCAAGCAATATTGTTGCAGATTCCAACGGACGCGGCAGTCATTACTTGGCTGCAAATGTAGAAGTCCCATAATATGGGTGGCCCATCTGCGCCAACTCACGGCCTCGGAATGACTGGGTGGTTCTGACGGCTTTAGTCACCGGAAAGGGTTCATGTTTCATTACTGTCCTGCATTAGTTTTCTACCATGTTGCTACCTCCTATGTTTGTTTTACATTTTTTTCCCCCTGCCAACAACCCGTGAGTGTGTGTATTTTCTTTTCCTTCCCTTACAAACAGATTCGACAGTGGCTGTAGGCTTTTTTTTATTACGGAATCGGTGTGTGATGTGTTGGATGTTGTATTACTTTTTATGCAGCAGGCACGTGATTTGCTGTGTGTTTGTCAACTTGCTTCAATATTGTCTATTTGTGAGAATTTGGACAGGTGCAACAATTGTAGAGCAGAGCTTTTTCATTAGGCAGGTTGCTTTGTGATGTAATGGATGTATCCCTCACATTACGGCAGCAGCAACGTGAACACAGTTGTGTTTGGCAACTTGTTGACAATTACTCTACTTCAATTATGGGAATTTGGACGTGTAACTTCTCCACACGAAGAAGAAGAAATAAATCAAATATATAATAAATACTGGATAAATGAGACCATAACACAACCTATCAAAGGCTTCTCAATTCAGAATATGTGCATGATGCCACAAAGCAAACCAACCAACTCCTCTGAATCACCGTCTAATATTAGCTGTTCCCTCTAATGGGGTTCAATGTGATACAAAATTTTCTATTCCTTTGTTCAGACTTCTATATGGTCCGTCTTTAAGTGAACTAATTAATACAAAAACATATTATCTTTTGGGGGTTTTCAAGAGAGCAAGTACCTCGACATTGTCATTGTTTGTTTCGGCGACAAGCTGAATTGGGGTTTTACCTTCTTTGTCAAGAGCTTGTGGATCAGCTCCCCTGTGCCACATTGGTAATTAACCAGAGTAAGACATTAACAAAATGTAACAAGATAAATCATACAGTAATCAAAGATGACTTCAGAAAGTAGAGGATGATTACTAAGGTAACAACCTCTGAATAAATAAATACCGAATAACTCCCGTGCTTATGGAAATCTGTAAGTGGTCTAATATGTAACAATGTTTAATGAAAGAAAAAAAGTAGACCCAGTTTAATTGGATGGGGGTATGAGAGGAATAAATTGGGTATATACCTAAATTTTGGCACAAGTAAAAGAAGAATTTTAGGGGGGAAATATGCAAAATACTGAATGTCAAAAACATATTATCTCCAGACAGCTTATGAAACATACGTTCTGAAAATAGTGTTATGACTACCATGTACTTACCTAGTATGGGTACACATATTGATACAGCTCCACGCTTACCAGTGCATAAAATATTTTTAATTTAATTTTTTGTTTTAAATGCACCTTACTTAGATGTATTTAAAAAGTAAAATTTTTGAAAAGTAAAAATCATACCAAAACAAGCTGTCCAGTTTATTATCATGGCTGTACAAAATATTATTTTGTGCACATTATTAAGTTTTTTTGGTTCCCACAAAAAAGAGAATCAAACATGTAGGCACCCTTGACAAGTTGTTGAATCCTTTACATCACAAAAAGCTACGCACATGAAACAAAATGGCCCCCACAACCTTGGCCATTATATTCTTCCTCTCTACAGTGTTTTTTTCCTTCTTAGTTCACAGTGTGGTTTTCTCTCTATCCCTCTCTCTCCATCTACACAGAACTCGTTTATTTCCTTGGAAGTTTTTCAAGTTTTTCACATTTTTCGTTTTTACATTTCCAAATGGCGAACGACGCAGGTCCGAGTCACCGCGTGCAACATGGTACATCCCGGGAAGCTATTGATGAAATTGCGAGGAAAATGGTGGTCGAAACTGATCACAACTTGGTAGAAGCATGGAGTAATGCGGCAAGATATTATTATAACCATTATCACAAAGTCCCTCGAAATACATCAATACTTTCGGGACGTTTATGGATGTTTGAGTTGTTTAACGGCCACCAGGGCCGGTTTGAAGATGCTGCCAGTATGTCATAAGCAGTGTTCTTGTTGTTATGCGACGCGCTTCACAGTTTTGGATTGACGTTGCCGCAGCGGGAGTATGGCGTTCCACTGAAAGAGAAGGTAGCCATTTTTATTTGTGCGTTGCAGGGTCTATCTTGGAAAATTTTGCAAGAACGGTTCCAACACTCAAAGGAGACATTGTCACGCAATTTCCATGAGGTAATGCAAGTTATGATACCATTTACATCGGTTCACAGTAGGAGTCTTACGCTCGAACAAGTACAACAAGGGGGCCATCCACATTTACGATCGCAGCAGCGGTACCGGCTATTCAAGGTGACAATTTTCATAAATGTGCAATTTTTTTAAAGTTTAGAAAAAAATTAAGTTATGTTAATTTGTAAAAATATGGTGCGTTGCGTAGGACTGCATCGGTGCATTGGGCAGGACGCACGTGATGGCTCGTGTCTCGTAAGAGTACGCCACATCATACTATGGCCGGAAAAGCGTGCCGACACAGAATACAATTTCCATATGCGACTTTAATTTGTGCTTCACATTTGTCTCTGCCGGTTGGGACGGGAGCATGCACAACAACTGGGTTTTGCACTACGTGACAACCGAGCCGAAACATCGCTTCCCGCACCCCGCACCAGGTAAAAAATATTAAACAGAAATATGAATACGTAGAAAATATAAATATAAATATTTTCAATAATGTATTTTCTTGGCAACAAAATTGTGAAAATTATTGTCTTTTCTAATTTTTTTTTTTATTTTGTCAACAAAATCAGTTGTCTAATGTAGTTTATTTCCCATTGTTCAAAATTTTTGCAAACAAATTAAAAAAATGAAACAAATGAAAATGAAAAGTTTTGAAAAATAATTAAGTGGTAAATAAGAATGTGAAAATGAAAATGAAATGTTATAATTTATAATTTAAATTAATAAAAAAAAGAATTGGAAATAGAAATGCTGTTAATGAAATAGAAAGTAAATAGAAAAATAATTTCGTAATTGGAAATATAATTTTTCACAGCAAAAGAACTTCACAATGAAATAGTAATTGAAAACAAAAATGGAAAAAGAAAAAATTACTAACGAAATAATTGACAACTCTTAATTCTTATAAATTGAAAAAGAATTAATTCTTATAATTCACAGAAAATGCAGTAATTGGAAATATAATTTTGCACAACAAAAGTAATTGCGAAGAAGAGTAATTGAAAACAAAAGGTCTTAACAAGAATAATTCATTATTAGACGAACAAAAAACTGAGACAAGTTAATTGAAACATAATTTAAGTGGTAAATAGTAATTGAAAACAAAATTGGGATAAGAACAATTTTTATTAATGAAAATGTAATTGTCATAAAAAAATTAATTATTATAATTCACAAACAATGCTGTAATTGGGAATATAATTTTTGAGAAAAAAAGAAATTGGGAAAAGGAGTAATTGAAAACAAAATTGGGAAAAAATTAATTTAGTAATGAAATTATTCAACAAATTTATTACTATTAACAAAAAAAAATTACGAACCAAGACAAGTTAATTGAAGAATAATTTAAGTGGTACACAATACTGTCAAATTGAAAATGAAATGAAACAAATTTTGCAGGAAAATACTATTTGGTGGATAGCGGTTACAGCAACAAGATAGGGTACCTAGCCCCCTACAAGGGGTATAGGTATCACCAAAATGCCCATCGAAATCGAACACCGCAGAATCAGTTCGAAATGTTCAACAAGGCACATTCGTCACTGCATAGTTGTATCGAGCGGACATTCGGTGCCTAGAAGTCTAGGTGGGGGGCATTGCGAAATATGCAGAAGTTAAGTTTTTCTAATCGGGTTACGTTTGTATGTGCGTCGATGGCGTTACATAACTTCATACGCCGACATAGCGAACTTGATGAGGTCACGATGGCTATCCCAGACAGTGACGATTACGTGGCCTCCCAAATGCCCGACCACGACGAATACACACAGGTTACTGATGTGATGGAGTAAGGGGACTCCGACCCTACAATGGCCGTTGTAAGAGCGAACATTACGAATGAACTCGTACGGCAAGCGCACCGGTAGGGGCGAATTGGAAATACAAGAATATTGGTTGAAGGTTGTTAATATTTGTAACTGAGATTCATATTTGTAAACACGTTTGGTTTTAATAGTTTCATGTCTTTCGGAGCGTAGACATTTTCAACAAAATGTATTTTTAAAGGAAGTATGTCCACTAATTAACATATATAAACATGGGGGAAGTTTTTGCAATATCTTTTATAATAATTTGTTCTCAACCTGGCATAAAAAAATTATTTCTAGCCATTGGTCAGAAAAAAAACAAAAACATACAAAAAAAAAAAAATCATGACTGGGCAGGTACGTGGTTTATCTTTTTTTATTCACATGTTATGATATGAATTCCCAAAAATACAGAGCAGACCTACAATAACAACTCAAACGAAATAAGGAAAAAAAAATAAAAAAGTTATATTTCGTAAAAGTGGAACACTGTGCGTCCGTGTTCCACTCGTTTCCAATTTTCAGACAATAATGGAACAATTGCAACCTCCGCTTGACATGCACGGAAAACAAGGAAGTCACTTTCTCTTCATCCAGCTGTGTCAGTATGAAGGGTAAAATAGTCATTTTTGTTGTTCTAATAATATTTTATTACACATTTATTCGTAAAAAGTCAAAAAGTTAACCCAAACCTCCATATTTTTTTCCTCAACTTTTTAGTCCAAAAAGACAAAAAGTGCATTTATTTAGGACATCCCAAACAACCCCTTAAAGTCTTAAATTAGTATGAGGAACTAAATTCTTTATCTTAAGGTTATGATGAAATTTTGATCAAGTAATTGGGGTAGTTTATATTTAGTTTTGTAGAATTTTAATTGATTTAGGTATTGTTATATAATTCAAATTTTTGTGCAAATAATGTTTTACCAAATTATGTGTTCACTGGTTATGAATACATGTTATACAATTGTTTTTACTGCTTATATATTAAAATTATTAAATGAGTCACACCTAGTAGGGGTATTCACGGTTTGGTTGCAGTCGGAGAACCTTTAATTCGCCATCCATTTGTCGGATTGGCAAATTAGAAAAAATCAATCTGCATCCATCTGCTGGATTGACGGATGCAGATTGAGCGGACTGGCGAATTGACAGATGGATGCGAACTGGTTTAGCGGTTTAAACTTTTATAAATTTTGAACATAATACAACTAGACAACATTTTTTTTTGTTTTGATAACAATCCAACTCAACATAACCAAAAGATTATAAAGTAAATTGTCAAATACCAATAATAA